AGCGACTTATGTCTGATCAGCAAAGTTTCTCAAAACTATATAATGATGATGGGCAAAATTCATTTCAAACATAAAACCTCTAAATCAGAAGTTTTCCATATTTACAGAGGAACATCTAGTATAAAAACATATTACACTGCTTATTGGATAATAGGAATGCAATTTAATTCTGTTTTATATAGGGTGTGGTGTCTTCGGACCCCCTGGGGTACCTTCCGGGGTCCCCTGGTTGTACATAATTATACACCATAGCTTACATATAGTAGATCACAATAAAACCACAGTGTAATATCTCAGCAATATCCTCAGATTACCAACTAAAGAAAAAAGTCATTTATTTACCTCTAAAAGGTTCAGAGTACCTTAAGGGTACATATTACTACTCTAAAAAAGTAATATACAACTTTTAAGGGAAGATACGGTACAAAGTTGTCCCTTTAAGGTTACTGCCCCTTTGCATTTTGTAGTGCTACTGTACAAAACAACTATATTATGTAGTTAAAAGTCAGCAGACTGCGAAGACGAGCGAGTGAATGATGCTGCCACTGCAGGCCTCCTGGAGCCCAGTGTTGAATTTGGTAATGGAATGTGAACTCCTCATCCGGATCTCTGCACATTCTGATTCTCCAAAGAGACAAGAACGAACAGAGGATGATGGGAGGAGGGCGCAAGCACAGTCAGCCTCTATCGAAACACCCGCACGGACAATGATGCATCCGAGTAATTAGTCGTCTCAAATTAAGATGGTTTCATTTGTATCGTCGATGTGGCTGCTTAGTTCAAATATAAAAGCCGACTTTTCTTGTATAACTATTCGGCGTTCATCTCATGCAGCAAACCCAACCCAACGATAGTCACGACGACAGCGAACTTCCTCCTTTAAAACTTTTGACATTCCCAAACATTAAGTTTGCACAGTGTGACTGACGAAAGAATGGTGATTTGGTGAACTTGTCGACGGTGAAGAAAAGTCGAAAGCACAAATAAAACGTAAATGCAACATGTCCCGACAAGGTCAAAATATAAAGGGAAGCGTGTCCAACCCCCCACGCGTTAGCCTCGATCAAAGATCAGATGTGGATGCTTCGGTTCACTATAAAAGACTCACTTTTGATGACAATATATGAGCTCAACTTAATTTGTTCAAATGGGAGATAAAGCCATAGTAGTGCCACTGAATGTATGGTTAATTGAAGTGGTAAAGCGACCTCAGGTATGCTGGCTGAGTACATGTGCGCTGGTTAGACGCGAGTGAATTCCTGTAGTCAGGCGCTCAAACTTTGGATGCGAGAATGAAACGAGGAAGCACGAAACGAGGAAGCACAAACCTCGGATCGGAAAAGATCGGACATCATCTCAACATCTTCGGCCTTCCAAGTTTAAAAACTTCCAACAAAGTTTGCGATCGGCAGGATGGTGAACGTAAACAACAACAACATGTAGAAAAGTGTTCAATACTTACGCTTGACTTTGTCGGGGTTGGACTGGCCGCGCTGAGACATGGTGATGGTGAAAAGAGATGATGGACTTCGAAAAAAAAACTGCAAACTTGTTCCGGAGAGCGATCAAAATGGCGTATTTGAGGATGTGCAAAGTTCGCCAACTGGATACTTCACATCGCCCACCGTGTTAGCTCCCTAAAGGAATGATGGCCATCCACACTTCCGACGAATGAGGGTCAGAAAAGTCACTTTTTCCTCAAAGTGTGTTCCTGAGCGCTGCTCAGTGAACGTGATAAGTAGACGCATCACGTGTTGCTCTAGTCTCCAAGGGGACGTGTGTTACTGAGGCTGCCACTGGAGTTCAGCTGTGAGCATCTCTACGGGAGGGGTGGAAAACTTCACCCTTTCAGCCTCATCCGATTGATTATTCACGATAGATAGATAGATAGATAGATAGATTTGATGTAGCAACAAGTGTCTAACAACAACATGGTCTTTAAAGCATTTTGTAGACGTACAAACAAACAGATTTTGTGATAAATAGTGCATATTTATATATATATATAAAATATTGTGTAAAAAAATATATAACAGTTGTTGTTATGTTGCGTAGACAATATAAACTCAAATGTAAACTTGATAGTGACGGGACGGGACACCTTCTTGCTGTCACAAGACAAACACCTGTTGGTCGTCATACTATAATGGAGCACTCGTCATCTCAAAAAATATTGTGGTATGGAATTGAATAGTCTCAGAGGCAAACGGGGAGTTAAATATAAAAGACAGAAGAAATAGTTTGAAGTAACACCCACCTAGGCTATATGATTTCGACAACAGCCCTGACTAAATATCAATCCGAGCAGCTGAGTCCTTAACCATCTTCATGTATTAACTTGATTATAGTTTTTTTTCTTTCTCTTTTTCTTTTTTAATTTTTTTTATTTTCTCTATTGTTTCTTTTAGAGAAAATGTTGCTTAATGAAATGTAAAGCTTTTGGTTTAAATAAAATGGAATTTGCGAATTTACGAAATTACTCAATTTAAAATGTAAAAAGAGACTAGGTTGAACACAATGCGGCAATACCATATGAGGACTCAAAGGTCACACACATTCAGCTGAAGTTTCCTGCCTTGCCCTACAAAGACTGAGATTTCTCTGGATTCTCTGAATCTTTTCACAATATTATGTATGGTAGTTTGTGAAAGACCTAAATTCTTTGTGATTTTACATTAAGAAATGTGATTTTTGATTTGTTTGACACTTCTCTCATGAATTTTGGCACAAAGTGACGATCCATCCATTCATCCATCCATCCACCCATCCACCTACCTACCTACCTGTCTGTCTGTCTGTCTGTCTATCTATCTATCTAATTTTAACACTATTTTCTCTGGAAAATAGTGATATGTGATTGTATTATGTTGGATAAAGATTTCTGTTTCAATTTGATGAGAGATTTGTGGACACATCAATGTTTTTAGATTTGTGGAGTAAACCATTACTGTTTTTATTTTGAAAAACAAAATTAGCCCCTTGGGTAAGATGACCACCCCAGAACTGGAATAGAAGAACCCAAGTGGCATTGTTACTAGAGTTATTATTTTAGAATTTAATACTTATTGTAATTAATGGAGTTATTATTCACTATTTCCGTGAATTAGAAGTACATTTCAGACATCTTCACTTTTCATTAAAACCCATTAAGATATCTAATTGAAATCATTAATTTTGCTTTCATAGTGTTGCTATTATGACATATGTTCAGTTAAAATATGGACAATATATAACTATATAATAATAATAATAATAACTTATATCTAAATATGTTACAATTTCAAAGTAAATGTGGGGTGGTTACAAAAACTACTTTACAGTGTCTTTCTTTGACGATTAATGTTCCCTGCTCAGCCTTGAATGATACATTGATTGCTTGATGGTTTTTCCTTGGGAAGTGTTCATCTGTTTGGGGAGGGGGGTGCGCCGCGCACTGCTCAGAAAATACAGAGATTCTGTGGTGAAGCAGCAGCTCTGTGTCCTGTGTTTTATATACTTTCACATCTCCTCTCATCAGGTAAGATGAAATGCATGTAAATGTAATAAGAATGCATTCTTAATGTGTTGAAGTTATTGGAAATGCAAATGTTATTCTTGAAAAGGTGAATAAGATTGTGCGTTTAAATGTTTGTACCACCCATTTCATGCTAATCATGGAGACAACGTGTTAGTCCGCATCTATTGAGCAAAATACAAAAACATATAGCTTATTTGTGATGAATGTGACAAAAACGGTTAATCAGTTACAAATGTGTGTTCTAAAGGAGTTGATTAAACGGAGTTTCATATACATACCTGTATTTAAAAAACAAATGCAGATAGTATCCCGAAGATCTAATAAGTTAAAATGTGTACATAAAAATGATTGTAACCGTCCATTAAGTCGAGTTTACATTATGTGAGTATTAAAAATGCATATAAAAAGTGATTATTGTTAAAAAATATATCTGTTATATGTTCTCAGAAACCTATAAATATACCACTGAAAATATATTTTAAATGTGTCGAAAGGTGTATTAAGTGTTGGAATATCTGTACAGTTCATATGTTTGAAATAATATTTAAAGGAAAGTACCATGCACATGTTGCCTGTTAAAGGGGTCATATGATGCGATATAAATTTTTCCTTTCTCTCTGGAGTGTTACAAGCTCTTGGTGCATAAAGAAGATCTGTAAAGTTGCAAAGACTAAAGTCTCAAATCCAAAGAGATATTCTTTATAAAAGTTAAGAGTCAACCACGCGTACCTAAAACAGCTCATTCTAACATGCCCCCACATGTCTACGTCACGATGTGGGAAGATTTGCATAACACCACCCAAATGTTCACGCAAAGAAAGAAGGCGTAACTTTTATTCTCGCTGTAGTATTGTTGTTGCCGCCACCATGTAGTGAAGGGGCTGTGTGTTTCGTTGTGAAAGCGAAACTACTTTGTTTGGTCTTCCAAAAGTTATCTGCTTCGTCATGCTTGGAGCTGATCCGTGCTGGTCGCTGAGGAAATACATCAACTTTGCGCTGTGGATCGCCGGATCGGCTTTCACCGTGGACGAAGCGGAGTCCAGCCCGGGGTCGTCACATATGGTTTCCGCAAGCCTCCTTCGTCGAATCTGCCGGTCGCGCCGTTCTCAAGCCCGCCACCTCTGCTCGCCTCTGCTCACTCTAGGGCGCCGTGTGTGACGCTTTCTTTCGTTGTGCTGGTGAGGGGCATAACATTTACGTCACACGCTTGAGGTATTCGGCCAATCATAATGCACTGGATAGCTGGCCAATCACAGCACACATTGTTTTTCAGAACGATGAGTTTTGTAAAAATCGACACGTTTCAGAAAGGCGGGGCATAGAGGAGAAACAATAATGTACAGTATGTGGAAAATATTGTGTTTTTTTAACCTTAAACCGCATAAACACATTTCATTACACCAAATACACCAAATAATGTTCTTTTTAGCAACATCATATGACCCCTTTAAAAATGTTTTTCACGTAGTTTAAACGGAAGTAGGAAGTAGGCGATTCCAGACCTCCTCCACAGACTAACATTACTGATTCTGTTAAGAGTAGGATGGGACTGACTTTGACCGATAAATACAACTCGTTACTTTTCACACTGGAATTGAGTGAGTCGTTAAGTTAAAATATAATGCAGGGTATTGATTCTTGTTTTATTTTGTTGTAATAATTACATAAAAAAAAGCTGGAATTCAATTTTCAAACCTTGCCTTTGGTTAGAAAATATTTTTTTTATTTAATGTAATCTTTAGCCTATCTATTGATTGAATGTTAGTCTGAAGATCACAGTTTAGTAAATTTGGGCTGTTTGGTTTATACATTTCAAAGTGAGGATGATATTAAACACTCAAGCTTTTTTAAGCCTGAAAATTTGTGTGTATTATTCCGGGTGATTTATTCTGTTGTATTTCAGTTTCATTGGTACAGGCATCATGTGCTGGAGGAACATGTGAAAACGTATTTAAAGGTTTCTCAGACTGCCTGCTCAGCCTTGGAGAAAACATGGTGAACTATTCCCAAGAGCTGGATGACAGCGAATACCCACAGACCATCTGCTCATAAGTACACGCTGTCTGCAATCATTTCTGGAAGAAGCTAAGCATTAAATATCTGGTGGTCTTTCTCATATTCACATATCCATGAGTTGAACTCCAGCCATCCATGACTCAGACACACAATACTGAAACATATTTCATTCGCAAGGTCTAAAACAGATTGTGCACTTTGTGTTTATCCTCATGCAGATATTGGAATGACTTCCACTCGTGCACCTCCACCGCAATTGCAGATTGTCAAGAAGGCGCAAAAGACCTTTGGGAAAAACTGAAACTGCAGTCCCGGAGCTTGGACTATCAGAGAAGCTTGTTTGAATTATGCTCCGAGGATAATGGAGTATCCAGAGTTTTATTACCAATGGAACTGAAGATACTGCTGATGTGTTTTGCCACACTGGTGGCTTGGCTTGCTTTTGAGTAATAAACCCAAAGATCTGACCTGAAACAAGTTCCTAAATGGATAATATGCACCCCTGTCTCTCTTCAACAGTTCATGTTTTGCTGCACATAATGATGATGGTTATGTTAAATATACGACTTGCTGGCACTCCTTGACCTTTGGAAGAATTCACAAATAACTGTCTTAAATGCTTTAGGGATCTGTTTTTTTCTTACCAAAATTTTTTAATTATTCAAAGTAAAAATGTGAATTATATTATATATTATATTATATTATATTAACAAATTTTCTTCTTGGACCATTATTGGGTAAAAACAGCAGACATTCTGCAATGAGGACCAATAATTAGAATCATTTTATATTATTATTATTTAAAATACACCTAAAATACATGTTATTGTCTGAAAAACACATATTTAACATAACTTTTTTCTTCATAGACCAATCGGCCCAAACAAAATTAACTTAATAAAAATTGATTATTGTAATACAGAATAGGATAATGACATTTACTAGGTCAAGAACTAAATTTCAGATCGTTGCACCAAGTAAATCCTTGGACTGTCAAGTAGTCTGAATCCTTAAAGTGTAGTTCTGTCCCTCATTATTGTCCCAGTATTCCCCATGATCAGTCCCACAATACACTGCGAAATGCACTGATGAATCTTTGTGGAAACAGTGTGGCGTGTGCAAAATGAAGTCAAACTTTTCCCACTGTAGCACTTTTTCTTCATTCAGTCTTAATGCAGCTCGTATATATCTGAAAATGTCAGCCAGTTATTTAAAGTGTACCTGACCCCAACTTCTCTTGCGGTGCTCTGTATCACTCTGATCACACCCTTCACTTCCGAAGCAGTTATTGTGACACTCTCCAATGCGATTCCCAGACGGCGTGACTTCATATCAAACTCCAGCAAACTAACAGGCATGTCAAAGGCTGGTACTAACATGCTGAAATCAGATCATCTTCATGTTGAAGCTGCTGGTTTGGAGGACGACTCTGGATTCTAGATGACACATTGCATGTTTCATCTGCATCATCAGAGATGACATGAGGGGGGTTCAGCCCCATCATGTCTGCAAACTGGACTCTCTTTCCACGGACTACAGTCGGATGTTCCTTGTGTGAAGAAGATTCATCCTGGTATAGATCTACAGGCAGAGATTTGGCTCTGTGCTTTTCAGTTTTTGGTGAATAAGGTGATGATTCTGGTTCAGACAGACACTCGGTCTCATCCAAAGTTGGAGTTTTCTCTGACTGCTCAGTGTCCATGTGCATTCATCATATTGACCAATTCCGATGTAATTGAGGAGCAGAAAGTCTTTTAAATATAAGAACTGGACCTGCAGACTTGCGTAAGAAAGATGCTTGACAAATACTACGTGCACAGCAAAGTCACATGTCTTTGCAAACAAATGGGTGATGTCTAATCAGCAAAAAATGACTTTTAAAAGCCAGAAACCAGCCCAGGGCTTTTATAATCTTAGTTATTTAATATATTTATCAATAAATTTTGACCAATCAAGAGCATTTTAATTTAAGCTATTTTGACAAGATTTTTCTTTTTTAATATCATAAAATTCATATTTATTTAGAGTAGCCCAGTTTTTTTTATGTATGTTTAATGTATAATAATAAACAAGAATCGTAAAGAACATCCAGTCTTTAAAGTCACATTTAGTCTTCTACTGTATGTAATCTGGTCTGTCAATCACTGTCTAGTGCAGAAACAGTATGAGGTACTGCAGAGGGATTGTGCGCACATGTATCTGTTTACACTCTTCATGACACAACAGAGTGCAGTCAGTTTCATAATTATTTTCTCATCATTTACTCACCAAGTTGTTCCAAGCCTCTATGAGTTTCTTTGTTCTGGTGAAGGTATTTTGAAGAATGTTCAACTAAATTAAACTAAACTGTTTGGTTACCAACATTCTTCAAAATATCTTCTTTTGTGTTCAACGGAAGAAAAAAGTTCATACAGGTTTGGAACAACTTGAGGTTGAGTAAATTATGACAGTTTACATTTTTGGGTGAACTATCACTTTAATTTTAGAGGATTCTTTTGGATTGGTTCCAAATTATGATTAAATACCCTAACGATTTCCTTGAAAATGTCTTACAAATTCAAAATTGACAAAAAGGGGGAATTGCTAGAGTTATTTTTTTTTGTAAGACGTTAACACTGCATCATATTATTATTATTATTATTATTATTATTATTTAGTTCTAAAATAGTAACTCGATTAAGTTTTAAGTTAACGTACATTTATAATAACTCAGAATAACACAGACGTTTATTTTATTTAAACAGATAAGGTAACAAATCTGAACTGTTTTATTGTATGTTTTTTAATTGAAAAACAACCTATTTACATACAAATTCTGAACTGATTAATTTTTATTTTATTTTTTTTATTAAGTACAAAATCTGAATACAACAAACTGGCATTAATTAGTATACAAAAAAGATTCTGGTATGGAAGGCTCAACACAATAGAATCATAATAAGCTCCAGACAAATCATATAACAAAACATTCCAAGAAACATAAAATAAAAATAAATTAAATAATAAAAAATACATAATATAAACAAATTAAGTAGTTTTACTGCTTTTGGATTTTTCATTTTACTAAGGGCATCTGAGAAGTATTTTAGATAAATTTTAAATACAATAAGCAAAGGAGGGGATTTAAAATATCTACATTTATGTATAAAGTATTTTTACTAATAATAGTACTAATAATATAATATTATTAATCAAATCGTACAAAACAGAGCACTCTTTGGTTTTTCCGTACATTACATCTTGTAAGGTTAGAGTGAAACCATCAGGAATCACACGCTTCTCTACCATCCAGTCCTGCAATACTTTCCAAAAAAGACTGCGACAAACTACATGTAAAAAATACATGTTCTGTATCTTCAACTAAATATTTGCATAAATAACAGGGCCCATTTTCAAAATTAAATTTTGAATGTAGAAATTTATTGGAGGGATATATCTCATTTAATATTTTAAATTGCATTTCTTTTACCTTGGGGAGAATAGGAAATTTTAGATAAGCTGTTCTGAAATATTTAACAGTGTTTTTATCAAATGTATGATCTAATTTATTTCTTAACATTTGACAAGGGTAGCACGACTGGATGATATATTGTCTCATAAAGGAAGGACTGCAGTAATTTTTGAGTAGGAAAGAGAACATCTCTAACATTTTTACACCTGAGGGTATTGCATTAATAACAGTAAAGAATTGCTTTGGATGACAGACAAATCCGTGTTTTAAAGTAAATGCATTGTAATTTAACATATTACCAGTCTCATCCATTAGATCCAACACTGACCAAATATTTCTATTTACCCAGTCCTCATAAAAAGTGAAAAATTTAAGGGGGTCTGAATACTTTCCTTACCCACTGTAAATGCATTGTAATTAAACATATTACCAGTCTCATCCATTAGATCCAACACTGACCAAATATTTCTATTTACCCAGTCCTCATAAAACAGGGATTTGTTTCTGTGAAGAATATATTTGTTATTCCATATAGGAGTGTTGTGGGGTGTAAAATTGTGTGTGCCAATTCTGAACTGTTTAATGATTCTGCCGTGAGCAGGAACTGACGTCAAATGTTTGCGACAAAAGAAGTTGGTACCATTTTTTTTAAAACATTAAGCCACATAATCAGGGAGTTTCATCAGCTTGTTGAGCTGGCCGTCTGGCCAAACTGAGCTATCGGGGGAGAAGAGCCTTGGTGAGAGAGGTAAAGAAGAACCCAAAGATCACTGTGGCTGAGCTCCAGAGATGCAGTTGGGAGATGGGAGAAAGTTGTAGAAAGTCATCACTGCAGCCCTCCACCAGTCGGGGCTTTATGGCAGAGTGGCCCGACGGAAGCCTCTCCTCAGTGCAAGACACATGAAAGCCTGCATGGAGTTTGCTAAAAAACACCTGAATAAGATTCTCTGGTCTGATGAGACCCAGATAGAACTTTTTGGCCTTAATTCTAAGTGGTATGTGTGGAGAAAACCAGGCACTGCTCATCACCTGTCCAATACAGTCCCAACAGTGAAGCATGGTGGTGGCAGCATCATGCTGTGGGGGTGTTTTTCAGCTGCAGGGACAGGACGACTGGTTGCAATCGAGGGAAAGATGAATGCGGCCAAGTACAGGGTTATCCTGGACGAAAACTTTCTCCAGAGTGCTCAGGACCTCAGACTGGGCCGAAGGTTTATCTTCCAACAAGACAATGACCCTAAGCACACAGCTAAAATAATGAAGGAGTGGCTTCACAACAACTCTGTGACTGTTCTTGAATGGCCCAGCCAGAGCCCTGACTTAAACCCAATTGAGCATCTCTGGAGAGACCTAAAAATGGCTGTCCACCAACGTTTACTATCCAACCTGACAGAACTGGAGAGGCTCTGCAAGGAGGAATGGCAGAGGATCCTCAAATCCAGGTGTGAAAAACTTGTTGCCTCTTTCCCAAAAAGACTCATGGCTGTATTCGATCAAAAGGGTGCTTCTACTAAATACTGAGCAAAGGGTCTGAATACTTAGGACCATGTGATATTTCAGTTTTTCTTTTTTAATAAATCTGCAAAAATGTCAACAATTCTGTGTTTTTCTGTCAATATGGGGTGCTGTGTGTACATTAATGAGGAAAAAAATTTACTTAAATGATTTTAGCAAATGGCTGCAATATAACAAAGAGTGAAAAATTTAAGGGGGTCTGAATACTTTCCTTACCCACTGTAAATGCATTGTAATTAAACATATTACCAGTCTCATCCATTAGATCCAACACTGACCAAATATTTCTATTTACCCAGTCCTCATAAAACGGATTTGTTTCTGTGAAGAATATATTTGTTATTCCATATAGGAGTGTTGTGGGGTGTAAAATTGTGTGTGCCAATTCTGAACTGTTTAATGATTCTGCCGTGAGCAGGAACTGACGTCAAATGTTTGCGACAAAAGAAGTTGGTACCATTTTTTTTTTAAACATTAAGCCACATAATCAGGGAGTTTCATCAGCTTGTTTCTTTTTGCTCGGTTGATGTCATAAAAATGTAAATGATAAAAAAATAGTTCAGTTCTGTGTGGTAATTTTTGTGAAAAAGTGCCT